TATAAGAATATTTATATGATTTCGTTTCATAACTAATTAGGTGTCCATTATATTTTCCTTTATTTATGGCTTTAAACACATTCCCTTGACATATTTGAAATAATTTTCTTGAGTAATCCTTTAATGAAAGGATAGCTACATGTTTTTTTTCCCCTCACATTTTACATATTTGTGTGGGATATCACAATTTTTAGTTAAATTGTTTACAACATCATATTTTATACAAATGTGTCTTCTCTTATCATTATAACAAATATTAGCCATAACAATTGCAAGTTATTAAACTATTAAATATTTATAGCAGAATTGCAACTATTTGGACCACATATCATATATATCTTTAATTAGACCTCTGGTGAAGGAAGACCTTGGCCTTTTATTTTCACCAGAACTTGTAACATTATTGTTCTTCCTCTTTCATTTGTACTTCCTCTTATTGTTTTCACGTGCTCATCAAAAGAGAATACAGATTAAAAAATATAATTGTATAAAAAAGATTTTAAAATATCATTAAAGTAATTATTTTAACTTTTTATTATACTTTTTATACTCATTTTTCTTTATTTATCTTTCTTGTCAATTAGTTTATCTCATTCGTTATTTGAGATTTGGATGAAAATTAAGAAAATTATAATGAAATTTATATTGAACTCCAAAGGATAAATAAAATAGTAGTAATTTTTGTAATTAAATTACTCTTTTGGTTCGTTAGTTTTTTTTTTTGTTCGTCCCTGGAGTATCCACCACCGACAGCAGTGACTAATCTCCTCGCTACGTTGGAGGCACCTCAAAGGGTGGGATAGCTGACCCCAAGATTTAACGCGGCTGCATACACAAGGCAGGATTCGAACTCCTGACCTTGCTTAAGCGTGGATCAACCCCTACTAATTCCATTTGGTCTATATAATATTAAATAATGGATCCAAGAGAAGGCAGCTTTTGCAGTTTTGAACAAGAGCACCACTCTGTCAAAACGAACTGACACTGTATTTGGGCCTATTAAATGAACTTTGTCCCCAACACTATGCATTAACCACTTCAATAAAACAGAGGAACAGACAATGGAGGAAACTTCCAAACCTCTCACCCGAATCTAACAAGATATCTATTACTCAATTTCCACTCAATTCTTTAATGAATTTTATTTTTAAATTTAACTCATTTAATCCATCTACTAAAATTAATAAATTAAGTATTAAATCATGTCTCAGACATGTTCCCTCTAACATCTTTCATGGAATTTTTCATGTCATCAATGACGTGATTTGGCTGATAAACATGAATAATAGATGTATAATTATAGTAGGCTAAATTATATTTTTAATTTCTTTAATTTATTTTAAAGATTTAATTTAATTTTACAAATTTTAAAATGTTTAATTTATTACTCTAATTTTTAAAAAATATTTGATATTAATTATTCTTTCATTCAAATTGATATTATATCATTAATAAAATTAGATGAAAATATAATATTAAATATTTTTTTTAAAAATTAGAGAACCAAATAGTGAGATTAAATTAAACATTTTTAAATTAGCAGGTTCAAATTGAATATAAATTTATCTAATATCTTTTTGTCTAGATAAATTCAAATTTTCATTTACTTACCTTAATAAGTGACAACAAATTGAGTATTTGGAACTAAAAAAATATCACAAAATGAAAGAGTTATCTAATAAAAGAAATTATTAAATAGGTAAAATTTATATAACTAAAAAAATGCTAAATAAATTTTTGTTCAATTTAGTCTCTATTTTTGAAATGCTCAATTTGTATTTTTAAATAATTTAATTTGATCATCTAATTTTTAAATGATGTTCAATGTTACCTTTTCGTCTAATTTCATTTAAATGGAGTGACTAAAAATATAATTTAGTCTATATTAAACTAGTAACAGACTAAAGAGCCAAAAGAGAACATTGCAAGAAATGAAGTGAGAAACGGGTGTTCAACTGTACATTACCAGAAAAATGATAGTGCATAGAAAATTATTATAACCACACAGTAAGAAAGAAGTATGTAATCATAAAAATAGTAACAATAGCCAAATACAAACAATATTCTGGGTCATGTCAGCAGCAAGTTGTATAGATTGTAAAAATAACCTTAGCCTGCCTTCCAACTTAATGATTCTGGATTTTTTTAACTCAAAAATCAGGCATCCAGGAAAAATTGAAAATAATATAATTCTATTGTTGCAATATATATACAACTCTACTAAAGTATTATCTGGGCTTCATCTTATAATCGGTTTAGCTGTATAGTGTTTAGCCTATTGTGGCCTTTTAGATAGAATCAAGATTAAAATGCCAAAGCAGTCAAGTTCATAGTTTGAACAATCACCACAAATAAGCAATTCTTATGTTACTAATAATTATCTAGAGCTTCTGATATACTCAAACCATCTTTAATTGACAACAGTAATTGACAAAAATTGGTAAGATAAACTGTTTGCTGTAATCGAAAGTGAAACTTAAAAATGCAATTGAAATTAAATGATAAAATGAAAATAAATCATATACTCGTAAATGTAAATGAACTTTGAAAAGTAAATGTAAAAATCTAAAGAAAAGCAATCAAATTTCAGGCAATTACAATGGTAAAACCGTAAATTTTTGTAAGGAAATTAAAAGCAATCCAAATTAAAAGAAAGTTTAAGAAGAATAAAGAGAAGAATGCAGATTAAAATGAAATACTTGGAATTTGGAATGTAAATATGCATAAATCTAAATTAGACAAGAAATGTAAATGTTTTGAAAATATAATTGGTATGACAGGGTGGTAGAGAAATATCCCAGTGTATAGCATATACAATGACAATCTAAATATAGTCAGTCCTCACACTACAAGCTTTAAACTATCGATGCTAACAAGACGAGTACAAGCAACACACTATACTATTGGCTCAAAATTGCTGGAGAACAATTCAGGCAGAAAAAGAAAATTCCAGAATGAGTTTTAAGCATATTCAGCAAATAATAACATCACCAAACAGAAAGGATGTTTCAAAGTAAAGTGAAAACAACTTAAGGAGGCAAAGATCTTCAACGTACCTTGAGCATAATCCCACACAGTGAACGAGGAGCTTTCATATGAAGCAGTTGCTAAGTATGTGAAAAATAGCTTAAGAAAAGAATAGTTGAGTACACACAATTAAATAATATATATATATATATATATATATATTCTTTTATTGGTTATAAACATAAATAAAATACTAAAGATCCTACTGAATCTCGTGCAGCTTTTATAGACAACCAAAAAATTGAAAATTTAAATAAAAAAGTAATCAAGTTTGTCAAACTCAAGGTTGAAGTAAACTTTTGGAGGCTAAACTTATCTAAAAAACTTACTGACCTTACCTAATACCCAATTCAATAAATCAATGATAAAAATTCCAAATTTTTATATTCATAAAAAGGTACCAGAAATTTTTTTAATAAAATATATCTATATCGTATCCACGTCAAGCAACACAAAACACAAATTCAAGACTTAATAACAGAAAAGAGGAGAGTTACTATACTTTCATATTCACACAAATCCGAAAGCACATCAAAAGAATTTACAATCTAAGAAGAATGTTATGGAATTAACAAAATTATAACTAGCTATTATTGGCTATCCTTGTGGGAGTGAGTACTCTTCATAGTTCTTACTCATACAAGATAAGTAATTGTACTAAATTGAAAATCAAGGTATTTTAGTGACTCAGAAAATAATACCCCTGTTCATAATAATATAACACAAGCATAAATATGATGTTTTACTGATAAATGGCATGCCCTTAATTATAACTAATGCTTGATTCAAATGTGAATAGCTTCTCAACCCTCAACCCCTGTTCACCCTCAATCCGCCTGCCTCTCGAAACAAATGTGAATAGCTTCTCAACTACGTATAAAAAGTAGGTGAAAAACCTGCCTGTTTCAAAACCTGATTCATGTTTACAAGTGTAAACTCTTACTAATAAATACAAAGATTTTCTCTAAAAAAAAAAATAGAAAGAGTTGCAATCTTGTAACGAAAACATCTAATCATTGAAGACCTCTTCTTAAAAAGGAAATTGTTAAGAAATATATTGATACGATTCTATATTTGCTCAGTGCATCCCTATTGGACAGGTACCTCACGACCAAATTGGGCAGGAAATCTCTCTTTCTCTTCAACATGATGCAGCAGAATTGTGCCACCTGGGATTTGAGCATAGAACAAGCTTGATTCCCCATCAGTTTGCGTCTTTAAAAACTCTCTTCCATCAGAAATGCTATCAACTGGGTTGCATTAAAGACCAACATAAGAATGTAGCAGAATATAAATAAAAAAACCTCAAAAAAAATGTAGAGCATTTTCAAAACAAATAAATTGAAGTTTTTTTTTT